TCACAACTATTTAAAAACTAATATTGCCATATATTCGAAAAGTATTCTGTACTGGCTGGTGGCAATGTTTCACTGTGCTATACAATACTGCTCTCACGAACTACTTTTCCCTCCCGCATTCCCGAATATATCTTCCTCACGAGCAATCTTTAAAAGTTCCCATTACTGCTCTGAGTACAATCCTCGTTGTATCGTCTCTACCCATTGCGCCCTGTCAGAGTTCATAGTGGTGCCGGCACTCGAGCAACGGTCTCCTTCGTCTCAGGGGTATTTTATCGTGTCGCCAGTAATAAGGTTTCCACGTGTAAGAAACCACCGAGGTGTTCCGCGATATAGGTGGTCGAGGAACGGTACAGAAAGAGACAAAGGGGGCGGAATGGGGTAGCGAGAAAACGAAACAGGCGGGACGCGGTGGAGTGTGCGCTCCACCAGGCAGCCAGAGAATCCAATCGCAATAGAGTTAAGTGTTCGAGAGTAAAACCTTGCCGAGGCACGACCTCGATTACTTGCCGAGGATTTGTTACGGCCACCTTTTCTGCCACTTTCTAGCGGGCAACCTCTCCGCTTCTTCGGCACCATAGAATCGTCCCAGAGTCTTTCTTTAACAACGAGCCTTTCTGAAAGGCAAGCAACGTAACATGAACGTAACACTAAAGGGAGTAAAAGAACGCTTTGTTCCCCGCGCCGTTGCCAGGCTTTTTTCCGCTATCAAACACAAGGGACTTCCGATTGGCCGAGTTTAGTCGGCCACCAATTTTCGACGTTGCCATCGGATAACGTGTCGTAAAACACAAATTTTTTCATTCGCCCTGTATGCCACGCCTTTATTGGCACTCGTTCCTATCCATTTTTAAACGAATTTTTTGGGTTTCAATATCAAAGAAGCCTTTTGCGAAATTTAAGAGATACCCGTTTGCAAAATAAGCAGATAATGTTCATTGAGATTTGCTTTATCTAATTTTATATTGATGTGTACTGATAAAATCAATGATATCTTAATGTTAAAATTTATCCCTGTTTTCTTAAGAAATTTAAAATGTCAATTATTAATTTACAGAAATACGAGCGTGAACTATTGTTGATATTTGAAGAACGATTAATAAGCTTTGAACTTTGGTTTTCGATTGGATAATTGCTAATTTTCTTAACTTTATTTTTATGATGAAAACTTATATAACTTATATAATTATCGAATATTAAATCATAGTTTTAAATAAACAAAACATGTTAATAGAATAGAAATAAAAATAGTAAATACAAAGGCATCATTTTAAATTAAAGAATTCTGAAAAAATTGAAGAATTATTCTCAACTATTCTCTGCTTCAACTATTAGAATTGATTAGAATTTTATAAATCATAAAAATAAATTGTACATTTAGTCAAATTAATAGAGAAATGATATAAATAAAACAATATATACAATTTATTATTTCTGAAGTAATCAAAATATTATCTGCTGCCATATAACATATGTTTATATTCATGATTGATATTGTACGGCACATGATTTGCTTGTTCTTAAAAAATAATAATTTATATCACTGGCATTAAAAATTGTTTTAATTATAATAGAAAATTATGTTGCTAATAAATATAATAATAAAACATAATTTCTATATTACTGCAATACAGTAAAATTATAATATTAGTTATTAAACTCGTAAACGCTTAGAAAAATAAAAAATGATTTATCATAAAAGATAAATAAGTTTCAAAAACGGTTAATAATTGTGTTGCATACATTGTACCTAAAACAAAATTTTCCAAATTAAATTACAAATATAATTGAATTAAATTAATTAAATTATTTATTTAAAAGAAAAAAAGATTATATAATATGCGAAGCTTTATGGAAAATTACTTGGAAATATTACAGATATTTTGCGAATATTCACAAATTATTGGCCAGTATTATAAACTATCACAATATAGCTACTTTTTGCAGCATCTTGCAATTCTGTCAAGATTCCAAAATGCTCCTTTATATACACGTTTTGCATCCATTATTGCGTACTGGTTGGTAAAGCTACGATCGGAGTACGGGATTACTCGCGGGATTCTGCCCGGCGGCAAAAGCCGCCTTAATGCAATTCCGAACACATTTTCTTAGTTGGTTCTTCTTGTTTTACTGTGAAAATCCTCGAGGCCGTTATGTTGGTAACGATAGAACCGACACGGCAGGCTGTTACCGCCACATGCCGCCATAATATCGGACAAAAGTTTTCTGGCTAACAAGAGAAAATAATTTGATATGACTCGTCGTTGTGCAGGTGGAACTTCGAACGAAACGAAGAAGTACAATTATGAAGCCGATGGTACCGCTATTGCCAATTAAACATAGTGTTGCGATACAGAAGGTTCCAAGATGTATTTTTTCTTTAAAAAAAAATTCATTTAACAAGTGTCTTTATGACACAAAAACTGATTTTTGTAAAAATTATTATAATATAATGTTATTTACGATTTACTATAGAAATTTCGAAAAAACTTTACTCTTTTTCTTTTAAAAAGAGTAAAAATTTTGAACAAATCTAAATAAAAATCTTAAAGTGATATTTTTGTAAGTTATTCGCTTAAAATATATAATTTTTTTCTAATATTAATATTTATAATATCAATTACAATAATAATAACAATAATAATAATAAACCAAGGAAATAAAAGCACTTCTGTTATTCAAATTATATTAAAAAATTATATTAAA